GTAAGTAGCCACTAACTGGTCTCTACACTTGCGGCCGCAGTGTATTGTGCGTATTGTGCATTTATCATTGCCGAGCTCAGGTGCCAAAGCAAATTACGTCTCGGCTCCCACTGGCTCGACCACTTACGCAAACAGCGATGGAACTCCGCAATTGACAATAAACTTAAGTAATTGTTTTCTTACACATTCTGAATCTACTTAAAAAAAATCTTTAATTCAATTTTAATAATGTTGGATTTTTGAAGGCATGTGTTAAGATGATATAGAGTACGACAAGTAATTAGTAAACAGTATAAGAATTATTAGAGCTCGGCGTCACAAGATGGTTGACAATGTTCTAGGACTTAGTTCTTCACACATTTGGTTTCTGGTAGGAGTTACTATTTATCATCTTAAATAAAGCCGGTTGATGTGGTTGATTTTAACTCATACCTCCTGCATAGAAATCCCATGCTAGAGACACCAGATCAATACATTTATCTTTACCCTAATTTTCCCTTTATACTAAGTTTTTCTATGTTATTAACAACAGTTTCAAGGGGTAAACAATTTGAAATGAATTTATTTTTTTAATCATGCAGTTTTTATATGAGTAAGCAACATTATGTAAGATTGGGTAATTAGGCAAAACATAGCTATTTGTAAATTAATTTACCAAACCCATCAAACACACAAAACTTCACAACTGTAATAAAAACATACAGTATGTAAAAAATACCCCCAAGTCTTACTTAATTTTAACCAATCAGAATAAAATGGTGAATCGTCAAAAATGTTGTGTTTTGGTTAAATCTATTTGCACAAGATTGCAAATGAAATCCTGATTATTTACAATGTTACTCGAGTAAATTAAATTAATTAATTTAAAAGACAGGATGATGGCCAAATCATAAATGAATTTTTAACCTTTCATTCAAGTTGATGTGCATAAATCGCTATGCACTTTTAAAAACCACGCTAGAAATCTTCTATGCTAATTTCTTCCGGTTAATCACAATCAAACAAGACTTGTGGGGTATGTTTTTTTATATATGACTTTATAATAACTGTCGAGTTTCAAGTTTGTAGTTTGTTCGATACGTCTGGTAAATAATTTGAAAATGGCAACCTGTTAGTGGAACACGCAATTTATTAGTAAATAAGACAGCACGGATGTAATAGTAAAAAAATTGATTTCTATACAAAATACAGTTGGGTACAGGGGAAACAATAAGCCCATATAGCAATATAGTTGCTACTGATATTGACATTCTACCAGTTTTATCAGCTTGCAGCTTTCACCTGAATCAGTGCAAAACAAATGTGAGTGGAAAAGACAATAGGTTCCAATCACCAAAGGTTTACATTTGTGGGTAAAATTTATGTTGTCAAAATCTTTTTATGAATTCAATATGCCATGTTCATCACCTTGTTATTGGGTCAATAACAATAATCCTCCCTTTTCAGAAATTTTGTAAATAGCATTAAGTGTTTCGTGTTTGTCTAAGGTATATACAGGGTGGCTAAAAAGTAACTTTTCAAAATTACCTTTAATAACCATTGTTTTAATAATTTATAGCTGCCATTTTGTTAATAATGGTCCGATTTCTATTTTATTTGTGTTAATTGTTATTTTTTGTCAAGACCTGTAAAATGATACCAAACTTGACTATACTTGCTATTTGAAAATTTTAAGCTACCCCCGCTACCCCTAAGGGCAACATTTTCAAAACTAACGATAATTATTGTAGCCCTTCATGTCCAAACAAGTTGCCGCAAACCGATTTCAAATACCTCAAATAGTTAAAAAGTTAAAATGGGTGCAAGTTAATTTTCAGCCACCCTCATGGTCATTTCGATTTGAAACGTTTTAGGGTACCATTTTGTTATTAGTGGGCAATTTTTGTTTTCTTTATGTACATTTTTATGTTTCGTCAAGACCTGTAAAATGATACCAAACTCGAGACTATACTTGTCATTTTAAAATTTTGAGCTACTCCCTACCCCCACTACCCCTAAGGGCAAAATTTTCAAAATGGCCATAATTATTGTAGCCCCTCATAGCTAAGAAGGTTGCCACAAACAGATTTTAAATACCTCAAATAGTTAAAAAGTTAAAGGGGGTGCAAGTTAATTTTCAGCCACCCTCATGGTTATTTCGATTTGAAACGTTTTAGGGTACTATTTTGTTATTAATGGGCAATTTTGGTTTTCTTTATGTAAATTTTTATGTTTCGTCAAGACCTGTAAAATGATACCAAACTCGACTATACTTGTCATTTGAAAATTTTGAGCTACTCCCTACCCCCACTACCCAAGGGCAAAATTTTCAAAATGACCATAATTATTGTATCCCCTCATAGCTAAGAAGGTTGCCACAAACAGATTTCAAATATCTCAAATGGTTGAAAAGTTAAGGTGGGGTGTGTACGTTACTTTTCAGCCACCCTGTATAACAAAGCACTTGGATAAAATTTGTGCAATTACCTGGTTTCACAAGATCCAATTTGAGTATTTTCTGTTTATTTATCCCGTTGAAATTTAATAAATGAAACAAAAAAATATTAGGTTTATTTGCAGGGAGATCTTCAATCTCGTGGAAAGTTGTCCACATGTAAAATATATTATTTCATTTCCAAAGCAGACATACTGTATAAATAAAGGTTGGCTATGGAAGTATCAGTTTTTTGACCATAATCTTTACTGTCAAAAAAAGTTAGTGTGGCTAAACCATCCATGAACTTTACTAATATTCGTATTCATCAGTATCAGATGAACTGAGTCTTTGTGGATCCAATGTCAGCCCACATTGAACATGATACAAACAAGTAGTGACATTCCCTATCAATATTCATCTCTTCCTAACATCTCTGACTTTCCCTGTACTCTAATCACTAACAGATTTTAATTTGTCCATCATTTTGTTTATAGATATATTCATGCATTCTTTTTGGCATTTAATCAGTAGAAACCTTAAGGAGTTATTGCAATATCTAAGAGAATTATAAAATCGTTCCCTCGAAGAGGTATTGTAATATTTTCCAACCTCAAACAACTTGAACAGTAGCATTTTTAAATTAACTAGACCTGTTGACTATCTAGTTGAATTTTAAGTTATTGTTATTAGAAAACTATAGGAATACTGTATATTCAAATAAGTTGTTAAATACGGGAACTTTATTGTTTTCTTGGTACTTTGGTATTATACTGATCACACCGATAAATGAACTTCCAAACCAGATTTTAATTAGTTTAAATAACAAAATCTCTCTACATTCTCTCTTCTAAGCTAACCTAACCTAAAACAAATTCCACCATTAGGCTCGGTTATAATTATTATTAAGTGTGGTCGGATCAGTAAAAGATTTGACTTGTTAGTAAAATTTGACTCATTAAATTGGAAAAGTTGAAAACTCAAAAAAGTTTTTGAAATACTTATAGAACAGAAGTGTGGGAGTACTAGATTTTGTCTCGTTTCCTTTCTTTTAGATCCAAACCAATCTAGAGAAGAGGATTTTAAACTCAGTATGCTTGCACAAGGAGAGACATTCCTTACCTGTTCTTTATCTAAATGTCTGGTGTATTTTGGAACTGGAGCAACAATGGGAATGAAATCAAATGATCACAATTGAAACCAAACAGTTTGAATATATCGGGAAACCTTGGCGCACTAGGAATAGACGTAGACTGTTGCCAAGTCTCTATTTATACCTCCTAGTCACTTGGCGTGCTACTGTATGCAGACTGCTTATTTACTTTGATTGACGATGTCTTATTTCCCTGGCATTTTCACAAAAGTTTGTTTACCTAAACAAACTGACTGATCTCTATAACAGTTACTATCTGTTTAAATTTCACCATCAAATCAATTGAATTTAGCGTGGTTTATATTGTTAGGGAGGAATTTAATATAGAGTCAACTTGTTCACTATTTAAGAGATTATTTATATTAAAATAAGTCGACATTCAAATTAAGATTTAAATTGAATCTTTGGTAATTGGTGGGATTTGAACTAAGCCACGAATCGAGGGCTACGCACAATAATTTATTATAGTTTGTATTTCCTTTTGACTGTTCATGCTGTGGTAAGAGTTTAATTTGAAACTGAGTCACAGTATAATCAACGCTTGTCTATAATCAAAATACTCAACTAACCTCCAATTGTTTTACATTTAGAAATACAGTCTGAATTAACTAAGCTAACACATACCTTATCCCTATCCTAAAAACATTTAAGCTTATTTTACAATCGATAGCAAAAATGCCTAATTAATTGTATTGTTTTAAGTAAAATCTAAACCGTATTGTACGCACTTAACATCTATCTACACATTGCTTTAAGTATATGTGTGATATTATTCCTCCTAATTTAGCATGATTGATAAATCTCAAAACTTTACTAGGATGCATTTTCTATTCTATTATAATATTATACTAATGCTTAAGGATGAGATTCAACTCCCAAACCAAAAGTGGTTGTTTCTTTTAGGCCATATACGGTTTAAATATTTAACATACTTAACCCTAGACAACACAAGCTATGTATCTCCAAAATGTCATCATAAAAATGTTGAATTTAAAGTTTAAAATATAGAAGTGTCATCAGTTTTTAGAATGGTTGTGCTAGATGCACTTTTGTTGTAAAGTATTTGCAAATGATTATAATACAGACAATCAGTAGTCAATGTGCCAAGCCAATAAATTTTCTTAACATTACCCTTAACCTTACTTTATCTCCTCTAATACTAGGCATTGGTGTGTGGCACCGTCACACCGGCCTATTGTCATGGTAATAATAGTAATAACTAACATGTAAACATAAAAATTGCGCATAAGCTACATAAGTTAATGCAGCAGCTACTCAGTAGGGGCTGCGGTGTTGACACTTTTGCCTCGCCACGGCCTTGTGTTAGAGGATGCCATGACTTAATCAATACCAAAAAACATACCTATCTTTTTAGCCGTAAGTCTCTCTAAGATTCAGTTTTTTTCGAACAGAGGAAGGGGACATTTCACTTACCCATCTCGCCTTCGCCCTGTATCTCCTTGTCCTCTCCACTGCCACTGTCCTCGTCTGTGGTGGACGTGGAGGTTCTACGAGGCAGTACAGACACAGCCCCTACCCTCCGTAGACCGGGGCCCAGTGTGGCGGGGCCTGTCTGCTGCTCTAGCATGGCCACAGCGGCGGCCACGGCGGGGCCACTCACTACCATCACTGGTCACTTCACTACACTCACATCCAACACCTCACACCTCACTTAGTTGTGTCAAGGTCAAATAGTTCTAGATTTCAAACCTGGAAGACATGTAAATATTTTCACTATGAGAGTATTTGGATTTTACTGATTAGTGTTTTATAACATTATCCTGACTAATTATGATAATAGTCATTATACTAAAAATAGGCCTACCTCAAAAAAACAGGGATGATACTAAATAAATTCTATAAGCATACTGTACTGTAAAATTAAAGTCATCTCTTAGCTTTTTATGAGATAATGCTCTTTGTCAATTGTTCCAATAAAGTAAATTCGTAATCTCATTCCAACTTTTTATTTAGGTTTATTTTTCAAAATTATTTAGGTTTGTAGTTGACTGGTAGGCCTATACATAATACATTTAATTTTACACAAAATTAGTTTTATTCAACCGACTACAACAGTAACCACAAATACAAAAAACAAATTCAACCTAATAACAAAAGAATAAAAATTACAAAAAACCTAAAACAAATAAAATCTTCAACACTAAAACACTACAAAAACAAAAGCGATACAACATAATTTATTTTTGTAAAAAAATACAACCGACTTCAAACGCTCTAAAAAGAATGAAATAATTTCAATAAAGTAAACTTTTGTATTAGGCAAGCTCACGTATTTTAAGTCGGCGCGGCTCTATGATGATTTTTGATACAAAATTGAAAGAGGGTGTCCATATTGCAGGTGACTATCTATAACTAAAGGTGTTAATCTGCATGTCTTTTTCATAGTTATGCGTTAAGTGTTATTTTATTTCCGTAATCAGAGATCGGCATTATAGTGGTATTAACGAGTATCTTTAAAAAGATTATAACACATTCAAATGTTTCTAACTTGGAAAATTAACGTTTTAATACTAAACTAGCTTCTTTTCCCTATCATAATATCAAACTAAATTATTTTCCTATTCATATAGAACATTTGTGTGTGTTATTTTCATAATGCACTTATTCTGAAGTAAACATAAAATACAAGAAAATATTTCCTTTAATATATAAACAAAACAGTTCAGTATGTTTTTTATATATTTATGTTATTCAGCTACAGTTTATTGATTTTCAAAATACACACACAATATTTAATTTCAATCATATTTGCAGTTTGAGCCACGCCGACTTGAAATACGTGAGCTTGCCTAATACAAAAGTTTACTTTATTGAAATTATTTAATTCTTTTTAGAGCGTTTGAAGTCGGTTGTATTTTTTTACAAAAATAAATTATTTAATGATTTTTAGTGACTGTATAATTTTTTTGTATTAATTACTTGAGGTCTTTTGATAAGCAAAACTGTTTGAAACAATCAAAAGTACCACAGAACAATCATTATTTTAAAACTGCTTGAGTCACCTGTTCAGGTTACATAATCAATGGGTATGAAAATAAACATTTTTAGATATTCCTTAAGAAAGAAAGAGTTGTCCATTACATTAGGCCTAATGAAAAACTAATTGTCTTTTCAAGATACATTGAAATGTCAGACATCATCGTTTCCTGCAATCGGTGTACTTCTACATTATAAAAAGAAATACAGTAACATCTCAAGCCTTTTGGAACAATATGAAAGTTATTCCTCAGCCACCAGCACTAAAAAATCTCTCAAAAGTGGAAAATTGGTCGTTAACACGTATAGTACCTTTGGAAAATATTATATGAAAGATTGGTTCAGCTAAAAGTGGTGCAAGCCATGTAGGGGGTTTTGTTTGCTCAAGATATAGCCTAGTCGAAATTGCAAATCATCTTCCTCTAGGACTTTCCGAAGCAGGCATAATAGTATTGATATGATATTGTAACTGGGTAGAGAATATCAATAAACATACCATATCTGCAAATGCATGTTTAGTAATTAAAATATTTAACACTTTTAAGACAATTTACGATTATGCACTGTCACACTTCTTAGGTCGTGTAAGGAATAATTGCATTTAATTTATATTTAGACCTGTTTTACGAATGCTTTGGTTTTCACAATACACCTTTATTTGTCAATATCATACAGCTATTCACTGAAACATATATGTTTTTGTAAGTTAGAATATTCAATACTAATAAAAACAGAATTACTGTATACACAAATCAGGTCAAACGTTAAAATACATTTTTATAGTAACCTAAACAAACTGCATTATTCTCAATGTAATTCATTTAGGCTCCATGGCAATAAATAGTTTATTGATCAATATGAAGCAACTGTTTCATGAAGAATTGTCTGTAGCTTCATTTAAATGGTTTCAACTAACAGCTGTAGGAATTTTATTATTATTTATTGCCTTCTCTGCACAAATGTAAACAATCTGCACAAATGTAAACAAAATAAATGTTGAATATTTAAGGTTTTCAGAATTTTTCACCGAAACAAATATTATACTTAAACATAATATATAAGGTACCAAATAGAAACTCTCCTGGTTATTTTGGTGGTGGAACCACACTGATCGGTAAAAGAATCACAGAGAAATTGGTGAACATACATAGAAAAAAAAACATCGCCACAAAGAAATTGAGAACCTCCTCCTTTTGTTGGTAGTGGGGAAGTCGGTTAAAAATTAGAAACATCCAACAAACCTAAGTACGCACTATGAACGAGTTCACTTTATCCATACACACTAAACAGAAAGAACAAGAGACTAAAGCAGAGCGCGGGAGTGTGTTAGTGAAAGGCAAGTTTCGTTACATTTACATATTTTCTCTAATTTGCGGACGGTTAACGAGCGATCATTAGTGCGCAACGAGCGTGTGATAACCGCAATAATAACGTAAGTGGCGCGGGAGACTTCAAACTTGAAATACGGCAATATAATGTAGATTTGAGCACTGTGATCAAAGAAACTAAAATCCACGATAAAATTATAGTAATAATAATAGAGGCGGAGGAGACTTCAAACTGAATATACGACAAAATAATGTAGATTTGAGCACTGTGATCAGAGAAACTAAAATCCACGATAAAATTATAGTAATAATAATATCAGAGGCGGAGGAGACTTCAAACTGAAAATACGGCAATATAATGTCGATTTGAGCACTGTGATCAAAGAAACTAAAATCCACGATAACATTATAGTCATAATAATATCAGAGGCGCGGGGGACTTCAACTGAAAGTAGCCTACGACAACATAATATCGGTTTGAGCACTGTAATCAGAGAAACTAAAATCCACGATAACATTATAGTCATAATAATATCAGAGGCGCGGGGGACTTCAACTGAAAATAGCCTACGACAACATAATATCGATTTGAGCACTGTAATCAGAGAAACTAAAATCCACGATAACATTATAGTAATAATAATATCGGCATGGGGGACTTCAAACTGAAAATAGCCTACGACAACATAATATCGATTCAGCACTGTGATCAGAGAAACTAAAATCCACGATAAAATTATACTCATTATAATATCAAAGACTCGGGAGCCTTCAATCTGAAATTACGAAAAAATAATGCCGCTTTAAGCACTGTGAGAAAAACTAGAAACCAACATTTTTCTGGGGAAAGCGGCACACAACCATTAAATCTCTTGAACACAATTCCGTGTAATTTTTCTGAATAATAACTACAGAAGCATAAGTAACTTTTCGCCATTTAAGGTAGCAAATTCGCTAATCTCACGTAAACAGCGAGCCAGCGGCAACCACAAGTCCACTCGCAATTGCACCTCTCTCTTCTGCGGGTGCCGTACGGTCGAAATTTCAATTTGACGTTTTAAATATTACTTTCTCTGCATTTGCAAACTTGGTTATATTTGCATAATAGTCACTTGCATGAAAAAATATCTTATTTGGGCGAATTCCCCTACCTGAAATACTAATTATTATTGTGTTATAGAGGGATGTAGACCCAAGGAATAAGAGCGGGCTCCGAACCCCCAGGGCACACTAATATTAAATACAGTAGCAGAAAGACAGGATTGGACCGTCCAAACTTTTGACTACACCTAGCCACGTCTCAATGTTTTCTTTCGCTAGTTCTAGTCAGTTCTCTCAAAGATTTCCAATCTAATTCAATCATGAAACACAATAAAAAGTTTAAATTAATTCCTTGCTGTTTCTTCTTTTGCGTTTTTTAAACCATTTGGATATACGTATTTTAGATTAATGCAAACTAGTAGAACCCCGTCGAAATCGACGGTTAATCTTGAGGTTTTATGTAAATTCAGCTAACTGCGATAGATAGAGTGAAGTCATTAAAATCATAGTGAAATGAAGGGAGGATAAACATAATATTAAGTATGACGATTGTGTTCCCTAAAAAACGTGATTGATGAATTCGTTTAACACAATATTTCCTACCTTGGATATACGTATTTTAGATTAATGCACATGAGATATGTGTCGCAAAAAAAACTACACTTTCATTATTTTCACGTGGTGTCTAGCACACGAAGGCTGTTGAATATTGAATCAGCGTCATCTCCAAAGTAGAATGAATCCAAGAGTACTTTGAAGGGAACGCCTGCAGTGAGTTCCCATTTCCCTGCATTTCTCATCATTGTCTGCTCACGGCTTTCATCTCCCACGGCAGTTCACTACGCTCTGTTTTACATGCGGCAATTAATCTTCAGCGAAACCGTGTTCTTTCCTATTGGCATAAAACTGCAAATCTCCACAGCAGCGAACCTACTAGTTTCCTCTACATTAAAAAGTCTACTTTGAATGTAATTCAATATCAATACTAGTGATGTAAAATACCCAGGTATTTAAAACTCGGGGTAAATACCCTGGGTATTTACCCGGGTAAATACCCAAAATCCATAAATACCCGGGTATTTTGGGTATTTATGAAATCAATTGAAATTCATTAATATTTACCCCTAAATATGTTAGGCCTATTGTTAACTTATCATTAAACATGATAAATTAAAATTAGGATAGTCTATAACACCTTTTACAGTAACTTGAAGATTAATGATTAATGATGCTTAATGATTTGGCACTTTTTTTAAAATAATACATAAAGTTTCTAAATAAGCATGGGGTTTCGTGTCTTAAATCGAGTAACATCAGTTAAATTTAACTTACTAAAAAATAGTATATTAAAAAAGACTGTGGCTATTTCAATTTTTATCATTTTATGCATGTATAACCAATTAAATAACATATAAACAAAATTATTTTAATTTATAAATATCCAGTAATTGTTGGGTATTTATGATGCAAAATTTTTATTGTATAAATGGTTTAGAAGGCTAGACAGACCTAAGGCCTGATTGATATAGGCAGAATGCTAAAAGTAATTAAACTTTTCTGTGTTACCGCTTGGTTGGAAACAATAATATATTTGGATAAACGCACTAAAAAATGTATCCTGTTTTTTGGTCTAACTTAATATAATTTTGAAAGATTTATTGTGCTATAGATTTAAATGTTTTGCATCACAAGTTTATGAAATTATTATTTTTTATTTGATACCATTGATGCCAACAAAAGATCTAGGACAAAAATATTATTAAATCCTGCCATCCTACAGATTGAATTTTAAAATTATTTTCTTAAGTTGTTTACACATAGGCCACTACTAGGTTAAATTTTCCTGTTTTTCTAAATAATAATTATTACTTTGCAAATAATTTTTTTTTCACTTTCAATAAAATAAATTTATCTAACATAGAAAATAAAAAAATCATAAGTACCGGTAGTCAGGATCAGTGCAACCATGCGACCAGGGTATTTATGCCGATTATGCTTTATGCTCAGACCTGGGTATTTATGGCGATTATACCCAGAAGTAAAATGCCAGTAGTGCCCATATGAAATTTTGTTTAAGACATTTTATCATCATTTTACTATCCTTTCAAGGTAATAATTGCAAAAAAACATCTAAATCTTCTCTAACTTTAATAAAAATTATAAATACCCAGTTTTTGGGTATTTACCCGGGCCTGGGGTAAATACCCGGGTAAAAACCCAATTTATATTTACCTACCCACTGGGTATTTACCCGGCCCACATCACTAATCAATACACTTTCAATTGCAATTTCCCGGTAGATTAACGCTTAGGCTTTAAAAGTTATCCAATAAATTATTTCTTTCGAGACTTGAGAATGATTTTGGCTTGAATTTCAAATCACGTCATCAAATCTAAAAATAAATCTATTTGTTTTAGCAAAGGTTAGGTATCCTATACAGAGCTGCATCTACTCAGCGAGTGGCCGGGGTTTGAAATTGTCACATCACAAATAACAGCCATCAGTGACTGGCTAGATTTGAACTCCCGAGTCTATAGCATAGGTGCAACAACCGCACCAAATTTGACGAATAGTCTATACTGTGCGGTTTATCATGTTAGTTTTCAGCAACGGTAGGCTTTGTGTAATAATCTTGTTAGGTGCACTGCCTAAACATGGCAGGAATCAAAGTCAGTTTGTTGTTTGTTGTGGAATCTGATTTTGCAATACATTGATTAAATATAAGGGGATGTGAAGGATCTGAGAAAAAACTACAGCACAAAACTAACAAAAACATAAATTTTACATTGCTATGGAATATGGTCTGTGCAGGGTGTATAGTCAATGTTTAACCCATGAATGCTAAAATGTAACCCGATAACTTAAACCAATGATGGCAGACCCCAAATTATATTTCTTTCTGTTATTACTCGTATACAAAACAAGTTAGTGAGAAAAATAAAAAAAATGATAAAGACCTAACTATTAACTATACAGACACAATTAGACAGTTAAGCATAGTTACTATTAATCGATGTTAGTTACTAAAAAGACCACTGATCATACCGCCCTCTTGCGAAAAGCATAAACATTGTCAATGACATAGAAAATAAATAAAAATAAAAATGAATAAGTACGAAAATAAATATATATAACACCATAGACAAACAAGAACGGAGTGGGGTGGTTTTGTTTTATTGAAATAGTTTTGAAGTTGGTCATGTAAAACAAATACTTTAAAAGTACCGGAGAGCAACATATGTTAAAATTTACCTCAGTTGAGGCATGGGAATGATAAATCTAAAACGGAATATGTGTCTATACTATGAAACTGAACACAATTAATTGCTAATTAATTATCCGTTTTGAAATTCCCCGCTATTGAACAAACCAATTTTTAGTTTCTGGTTAGGTCACTGTGATCGAAAAGGGCAACAGCAACAGGAGTTAATAAACAAACCGTATATGGACGTCAGAACGAGGAACGGAGGAAATGGAACAGTTTGAAATGAGAATCAAACTGACCGGGAACATTGCAAGTTCGAGTTCTCCTAATTTTGCTCCATCCGTTTTACGGTATTTGCTTCGCACAAAATCCAAATAAACTCCATACTAGTTTCATACTACTGAAATTCATCACTAGCATTATAAGAATTGAATTTGTGACTCTTCAAATTAAAATTTTAACTTTCGTTTTAACATGTTTTTATTGCAAGCCTAATTATTATTAACAAAATATTGTTTTCATCGGCTATAATGTAACTGTGTGACTTGAGGAGGGAGCATACCAATTAGTAAAAAATCATATATAATTATCTTGTTTTCTTATTAGGATGTACGAGTAACGACACAATAAAATATTTAAATAGGCCTATAAAAATATTTGGCTGAATGTTAGACCGCGGCAAGTGTTCAGATCAGTTTAGCGATAAGAGGACAAGTCCGCATTAATCGGTTGAAAAACTAAATAAAATATCCGACATTCTATTTTATTTTTTGTTGTTGACAAAGTTTATGGGTCATGAAAGTTGCTATAGCTCATAATAAGTTATTCCATAAGTTTGAAATGATAAAAAACATCGTGTATTCGACGGAAAATTTGTCATTTAGATCAGCGCAATCTGTTGGTGGCTCACATCAACTGCAACGAATTTAGTTAAAACTTGTGACAACTTTAACATGGGGATGGAATGTATAGTCGTAATTCAAAGGTACAGACTTCTCTATTTTCACCCCACGCTGTATATAAAACATGTGATTGTAATTTCTTCCATTGGTTTTTTTTATTTTCTGTTTATAATTCGTTATTTCGTCACCAGCATGGCAGCCCATAACGCAAATGTTATTTTTTTTCAAATTTCAAATTAATTTGTTGTACCTATTTTAATTTATAAAGGGATTCTGCACATCTACAGGAAAATATCTTTCAAACAGTATGCGTAGATTTTCCCTGCGATGCACTGAGCTGAGAAAAAAGGTTTTAAAGAAACATGCTTGCCTATTAATACATGGAAGATTACTGTTTGACTGAGATTTGGATTTCTCAGAACCACTAACAGTTGCCCAGTGAACGGATATGCTGTTTACACTGTCTACTCCATCCATAAAATGGGTAAATTAAAACACAAGACCTATCTAGATGGGGCGACGGTGACCTCTGACCTTACATATGGCGGAAACATCTGACTGCATCCGGAGTCCGGACCCACATCTGCCCAGACTCCATAACTCTAGCATAACTTTGTCCATTGACTGTAAATACACTACCTCCTACTGTACCATGCAATAGACATCATATAATGGCGAAGTTAAGGTAAGTTGAAATAGAAAATATAATACACTTTGCAACGAGAAAGTGTGTTAGTTTAAAATACCGTTTTCATCGTTGTATACAGGGTGTCCCACGGAAGGTGTCTCAAATTGATAACGGAAAAACGACAAGGATGAAATAAAATTATTTCCCGTTAAATTTACCCCAAGGAATAACGTAAAAATACCAGGTTTATCACTAAAGGCCCAATTTATTTAGGGTTAAACCCAAATAACATGCATTTGATACAGGAAAATTCGGTTTTTTGTTATTTACACAAAAACTAATAGAGATACGAAGTAAGTGTAAAATACAAAGTTGTTAAGAATTTTTAAAAAAAACCTATGAAATTTAATGATGTGCCACTTGTTTCTATTTGAAAATTTTTGACGATAGGCATTTCCAAATTTTGGACCTCTGGAACCGAAGTCCCGCGCTCTGACCACTAGATCAGCTCGCTCCCCACTGAAGATGATAGCACCAATTAATTATTATATAAAATAAGTTACACAGATATTTGAAACCCAAACTCACAGGGCTGTGAACACGAATTGCTCAATCACATCAATTTATAAATAGGTAAAAAATTATATGAGTTTTAAACCCCTTAAATATTGTTTTGACGCTATTTTTAACCATATTGAAATATCAGAAATGTTGATAATGTAAGTGTTCAACAAACTAGTGAAATGTGCCTTGTTTGACAAGCTGAGCATACCATCTGCTACACTTGTAAAATATGTCCACACATAATATGTGCATATTTGAAGTACCGGGATTGAATTTTGTTCATTTATGAAAATTATTACCGGTGCATATATACAATTAAAAGTTACTTATATAAAGTATTCTATTCAACAACCCTTTTGTAAATAAATAAAATAGCATCCATGCATAAATTTACAGCAGCAAAAGTATTAAGAGAAAAAAATGAAAGACGGTGTTTTTTGTAAGAGGTTAGAAATTATCTAAATTGAAAAACAATTATAACGCAAAACTTTTAGGAGATGTAGTCAATACAACAATATATAACGCATGCTCAAGCTTATAGACAGTTGAAAGTAACTGTTTACAAATTGGACACGACTAATAGCAAATAATAAATAATATTTAAAAGTGCAGTTATATATTTTTAACACAATTTTACTTTTACAAACACACGTAAAAAACACAAATAATATGAAATGCATTATATTTGGTAAAACTTCTAATTTTTCTTGGCACAAATCCAGGCACACAACCAAAGAGTCAATTACACTACCAAATAAGCTAAAAAGCAATCTAAAAGCAGAATAGTTACGAATAATCCAGCCTGGCGGCAAAAAGTAGCAATCCACAAAAGAAGAGGTACAAAAAACCGCACAGTAAAGTCAGACAAAACGGTAGAAGATCGCGCATGAGACGCGTGGCGCGAGACGAACTGTGGTGCTGCGGCTATAATTATCTCTCCCCGTCGTCGCTAGTCAGTAGTCAGTAGTGTCATGTGAGGGGGGGGGGGTGTCGTAGGGTTAGAGAAACTGACTGTGTGCAGTTAGCAGACGTAAAGTATAAGGTCTATATGAATACGAGGTTTCTTAATCACATTATCGACGTTAATCGCAACCCTTATCGTCACTGATCGCATCAATTATCTACGATGATCGCATCAATTATCTACGATGATCGCATCAGGTATCGTCGTTTATCGCAACCCTTATCGTCGTTGATCGTCGATATTAACGAATATCGTAAAATAATGAAGGGAATTAACAAAGATCTGGAGCTGCAAGGTTGGTAGTACCCTACTAAAGAAATTAAGTTTGTTGAAAAAATAAAACTTAGGAGAAGTTGAAGCTTAAGGTTGGTAGTACCCTACAAAAGAAATTAAGTTTGTTGAAAAAATAAAACTTAGGAGAAGTTGAAGCTTAAGGTTGGTAGTACCCTACAAAAGAAATTAAGTTTGTTGAAAAAATAAAACTTAGGAGAAGTTGAAGCTTGAGTTGAATCAGTGATGGTATTACAATATAGCACAGCACAAGTGTTTAATTAAAGACCAATAAAAAGAAACTAAGCCCTGTAATGATACAACATTTTCTCAATCATGTTAGGAAAAGTTTCGCATCAGGTATCTATATCGCCGGTGATCGCTTTCGTAGATAATCGAATCAATTTTCGTCGTTGATCGCATATCGCGATATGTCATACGAATGAAGAAAAACAAGGGGTTTACTGTCTATTCACACACATCAGTTCCGGAGCGTCACAGTTCTTCTCACCAATATTTTGTGATTGTTCGATCGTGTAATGTATGATGTTTTTTTTTATTAAAAAAATATTATTTTTTTAATAATTCTGTACACATGTTAAGTACAGTTTGTAACAGTCGTCAAGATGAACAAGATGGATTTATAGGATATTGCGTTTTAAAAGAATTCTTGGCTGTAAGATACCTGGCAATAAAGTGACGAAAGACTGACTGAAACCAACTGACGGACAGATGACTGAGGAATTGCGTGTGCAACTGAAACTGAACTGTGACTGGACTGATGTGTGCGAATCGACATTTAAAACGCAGCATCTAATGTGACTCACATATGTCTATATGTGTCTCATATGTGTATATGTCTCATATGTCTATTGTGACTCGTTTACTGTTTACTATTTCGATCCGGGGAGGCAATGTTTACAGGGAAGTTGGATAATTCAAGTCACAAGCTTGGTACTCATCACATTTGAAACTGGTATAATGGAATGGTACACAACTTTTGAGAGCTAACAACGATGTACGGCAGAAAAGTGAAAAGCTATGAACCATAGAGAATTAATTCTGTGTACGATGTGAGATAAAAATGTAACTGATACAAGATAAGGTGCAAAATTTAGTGAATACGTAAAAAGGTTCAATGAAAGAAGATTATAACACAAAATACTGCGAATACAGAGGCACTTTGTGTATTCAGGAGACTAGTTCTGTAGTCCATGATTGACATCAACCAGATATGGTTGGAAGGCAAGGGAAGCGCAGATGTGTAAACCTATAAAAGAGTTTCTGGAGTAATAAACTCATGAACAGTCAAGAAAAGCAGTGTAAGTAAAACAGATTTCTATCTTACCAATTAGGACTTCTATAGTATTACTAAGGCTAAAAGTAGTCCACCAAAAAGCAAATTCAATAAAGAACCATGTATTGTAAAATTAAAATTATGGGGGGTCTTAGCTCAGGAGTTGTTTACTTAATGTCCAAGTTTCGTAGGGTCTCTGAGTTTCGTGTTGCTGCTAAAATCTTTAGTTGCCAACATAATTCCTGTTAGGCTACACACAATACTAGAACCAATCAAGAACATAATTTAACATCCTTCCGTTACTACTGACAGTATTTTATGCGTGGACAAATAAACTCAACATTATTTATTTTATAAATTACATCCCGCATTATTCTCTACTTCAAAACTATTCAAAACTTTATCCGACGGTTAGTGGACTTAATTACAAGCACTGTAATTAACGTTGTACTGTAAACTGTAAATTGCACTGTAAACTGTACTGTATACGTTTGTGTTGAGTACGTCGATACGCCAATCTGTTCAGATGCTTTCACTGCCGGAAATTCTGTTACTCCAACAAGGGCAACGTGAAATTCAAACATCCGCAAGTCGAAAGGCAAAGTTGTAATCACGCTAACTACGTTCAGATATTAACTCAGTTATTCCTCACTAACTTTGTCAAAGTATGCGCTGCAGGACCACCCGGGTAAAGTCAAATTGTTTCATGATGTAATTTGTAATATTTCAAGTTGTCAGGTGTGGTATGTTATAAGATTAGCTCTATAAAAGAATAAAAGTAAATCAATCTGGATATAAAAACAAATGTATATGATTGGAAAACTGGATAAAGGATAAGTTTAACGGATATATTGTTACATTTAACATTCACACCATGATGGATTGAATATATGCTGCAGTCGCATGACCAGTCAGGTCCTTCTGTCCTTAACTTGCAGAAATTACGATATCTGCCAACTCCTATTGCACGTCAAATGTCCTGTATTTGGTTTCTGTTACGGACTTGCTTCTTGGGCGAATAAGGTTGCAGATTGATTGGAGTGTTTGAGTTGAGAATTATTGCTTCTAAACTCAGTTGATTAACTATTGATACTTGATATTGATACCAGATACTATTTTTGTTGAATTGTAAATCAAAAACATTTTTTTTCAACACAATCATTTACACATTTATTTTGGGAGCCGTATTAATGCACAACTATATGTACCTGTGTTTATCGCTTTTGCTTGGATTGTAATTATTTCAACACTCGCGTTAAAACTGCATTAACCATTCCTACAAAGATATGCGGAGTGTTATCTTAGAACAAGTTTCACGTCACTGCTGACACGTCAATACGATATACAAACTAAGCCTATCCCAGGGATTTGTGCCTCTTCGACGGCCAGAACACGTAGTCCTGTTAAACGTTGAAATGTCACTACAAATTGTCACACTCCCTGCGTCACCCTTGCAAAAAATAGCCACATTACCAACTACTGTACGTCTTCCAATGACGAATACAGAATACATTTTCACACGTTTAATAATGTACTGTACAGCAAATCACAGATAAGTAAAATATCTTATTTCTCTTTGAGCAAATAGAGGCGACAGTGTTGTTTAAATGGTTTCTGTATTTTTAGTTGTTCATAAACAATTCCCACAGTAAATTTATCAAATTGTTTGCAGTAGCAAACAAATCAGACAATGACGTTTAGAAGAAAAACTACCGTTTCTTGGTGTTAAGTTTCTAATTGTTGAGAGTCTTATTTCACACCTAAGACTATAAGACACGAAAAACACCAAACAAAACTTGTAACAAAATGTGAGCACGTTACTTCGCGAACAAAACTCGAGTAAAGTTTCGAGATATCGTTATACGAAACTGAACCTTTCGCGTGCAAACCAAGAACGGAACAAACTTGAACATCAACCAACACTTATTACGACATAGCTCTCATACTTTGATATTGTTACCATGGCACAGTCAATCTTTTATTTCTCAAGTAATTAATATTTTGCAGAAGAATTTGAATTTTAAATTTGTTTAGTTAACACAAATCCCTCAAATATTTGTGTAAGAAAATACACTCAAATACATAATAATTCTGAAAACTTGCTAATTGAGTCATCTACTGTTTTTACGGGCTGTAGTCCACAAAAACATATATTCTAACAGTTGTTCCTTCAATTTTTGTTGAGGGTGAAACAAAGTACATGGACGATATTAGTTCCAAAACTATTGAATTTGTCAAACTTCGTTCATTCTGTCTTAATGACTTGCACTCTGTATAATAAGATGAGATCGTGACAACGCCATGGTTTGACCCGTTTATTAACTACAAAATCAACAAGAAGCACAAAAGCGTATGAAAAGTACTAAAACACCAGGTTGGGGATATTGTAAGTCACACAACCCTTGGTGGCGATTACGTACGAATCATTAACAATGGACATACCAAGTTTTAAAATTGTGAATAAACCTCTAAACTATAAACATCATCTACTCCAACCCGTGCAAGTGCAAGGTGTAAAACATACCTTATGTAATTTCACTCAAAAGAGACCAGACTCATATTGATCAAGGTACAAAATTGAGTTAACTGTTGAAGTCACTTAGGTGAGTAGCTCAAAAACTTCACTGGTAGCTTAACTCAGTTGTGTCTCATGCTTTTAGCCGATTTGTGTAGAAACTAAGTTGAACTAGTATCAAACAAAGCGTTGAACGAGATTAGGTCTCAAAATTGAAAAAGTCAAGTGTGTTTACAGAAAAACAATTAGAATATTGTACAAAAAATATTGAAAGTTCATTGAAAATTCTGCATTTTTATACGATCAAGTTAATGTACAAGTTGATCAGTATTGTGAAAATCGTGAAGGCATTTAGGTGATAATTTTCAGAATCCTTGTTTAAAAAACATAAAATCTTGAAAAATAAAAACAGTTTATCCTATAATAGCGCTGTAAGATATTTTAAACTCTTCAGAAGTCACTCTTAAATTAAATGAACAAAAAAATGTAAATGTATTTTTTTACATAAATGACAAAAGGTTAGAAGATATGAAAAAAAAAATAAAATCATTACAAGACAAGTTGGGTCTTTTCTTCCTCCGACGAAATTCTACTACTCATAATTTTAACTGTCAATTTCTAGATACTATTTGTTGACTGACAAATGATTTTAAGAGGCTTGACCCACAACGAAAATTTCAATTTAAAATCGGGTTACTTTATAAATGGGACTGTGAGAGTGAAGAGTGTCTTAGTGGACGCAACAGCTGAGCTCATAAAATATCAATCATTCTCCGGAGTCGTTGTTTTCACATTCATCATAACCCGAAAGTTTCACATTTTTTGTCACAAACCCTAGTTACGAAAATACACTGTACAACACGGG